CAAAGATGGTATATCTGATAGAGTAACACATATTAATGGTAATTCTGATAGAAATTCATTATGTATAAATGATAATAAAGCTATTGAAACTATGGAAGGTAAATGTATGGATGAATTAAAAAATGTAACAGTACAAAAGAATAATAATGAAAATGAAAATTTAAATATGAAAGTCATTGAAGTTAATTCAGCACAAGAATGTTCCAATGTGGAAGAAAATAATTCTGTATATTCTTCAAAATCAAATGATAATATGCATAGAGTGCAGAGTATACATACAATTACATTAAGTACAACAGATACTGATAATACATTACCACGTGATACAAGTAACGACGCACTTTCTGATGCACGTTTAACAAATAATATTACCCAAATTGCACATATAAATCCTGAATTATGTGGTTTACCTTTAAATATATTTACAAAGGTATGGAAATTAATAATATTATCAATGTATAATATATATTAAATTATTAATTAATTATTTATATTTTTAAGGGATATTTATGTTTACCATACTTATCTTTACCATATCTGGATCTTTTGGCAGATATTAATGTTAGAGGATACATAGTAGGTGCAACGAATGTTTTATTTAAACAGAAAAAACAACTTATTGATGTATTAGTAGAGGTAAGTTTCAAATAGAATAAAAAAAAATGAAATAAAAATATTTGAACAAAAAATATTATACTAGCAACAACTTATTTTATAACAAGGTTGAAAATACGCGAATAGAAACAAGTGACCCGGAATTAAGAAGACAATTGCATCTTACAACTGAAGATCTAAGATTTGCTGATTATATAGTAAGACATGTCTCGGAGCCACGCAAAGATATTTTTTTGGATGGTGTAGGATGGGAAGGAGGAGACGAATGGATTAGAACTCAATTTCGGGTTTATTTATTGAGCATGTTAAGAACATCGATGCAACAAGATAGTAGACAATCTGATCATTATAATTCTGCATTTATAGCTGCTTGGCGCTTAACGAATAATTATAAGATATGGAATAGTTCTAATAAACCAGAAATTAATAATATAGAACCAGGTCATCCATTTGCTGGACAACTATCTGTTCAAGATATGAAATTACGATTATCGCAGTAAGTATTTAATAATCTCGATAATAAAAATAGAGAATGAATTTGTAAAAAAAAAAAAAGAAACGCGTTTCTTCTAGTACAATGCAAAATACAGAAAGTGGTAGAAAATTGAATCAAGCAATGGCATCAACTGGACGAGCGGTTGCGACAACTGGAAAAGCAGTTGGTAAGTTTAATATTTATATATATATATATATATGTTAGATACATCTAGCTTTAAAATTTTGAAATATGTATTTTTTACTGGATATACTGGAAGTAAACAATACATATTCCGAAATTTTAAAACTTTAATTATTTATATAATGTACGTGATATATTTAAAATGCGTATAAAATGAATTATATAAATAAGAAAATTATACAGAATACATTTTAAAAGACAATTATAAAAAGTTCTCGCCCCGATGCAAGTGATAACGAGAGAAAAAAAATATCTATGCGCGTGCGTGCAAAATGATTATTGTTTCAAAAAAAATAATTGATGTAATAAATGATATGTAAAAGTCCATAATGAGACTAATGCATATTCCAATAAATAAAGGAAATAAGAAAAAATATATTTAAAAAAACTAAAAAATAAGTATATTAAAATATAAAAAAATGTGTACATTTGGATGGAATATCAATTGAATTTATGTATTATACACACTTTTAAAAAACATCAATTTAAACAATTGAAACAGAATATTTATATTGTCAGAATTATAAGATTTTAACAAAAAGAAATAGAATTTCTATAAAATAAAATGGAATAAAATAAAAAAAAGAAATTTTGTGGAGAATAGCATCGAAAAAAATTTCTTTTTTATTATTTTTTTTATTCTTTCAATAATTAATTATATTTTAAACAATTTTTCTTGATATTTCTATAAATTAATAAAATTTAAAAATAAAAAGAAAAATATTTATTTTCTTATTTGTTAGGTGGTGCATTATCACAAGCTAAAGGAGCTTTTTCTAACTGGTGGAGTACATTAACAACAGTTCAACCTGTAGAGGAAGGAAAGACCACGGACAATCAAACTTCGACTATACATCAAACGCTTTCAAATATGGTTAACAAAACTGCTGTGGAAGATGACGAAATTAATATGACTACTAACAATACAGGTTTAGAGGAATGATTGATACAAATTAATACAAAGACTTATATCAATTCCAATTATTTTTTAGAATAACTATAAAACTAATTTTTTTTTTTTTAAATCTACAAGGGAAAAAATCCCGAAGTGATTAGTACCAATTTTGATGAAATTTTAATATATATAGTAATTCACAAAAATATTGGATATTTATTTTTTTCTTTTAACGGCAATTATCTCTAGATAAATAAATAACAATAATAATATTTAGGTACTCTTTTTTTTTTTAATAATTTAATATACCTTTGTATACATATAAAATTATTTCTATAAAATATCAGATTTTTAATCTTTAATAACACGCTGTAATGTTGGTATATAAAATAATAATTAATAGAAGTTCAAAGAAAAAAATTTTTTTTAAGATATGAAAACATATCGAAATCGATGAAAAATAATTTATTAGATTTTAAATAATATTAGATTTTATATGACATTTTCTATCTAATTATAATCTAAATTAAATATCATTACTATTTTTTTATAATAAAACATTTTATATGTGCAATATCAAATATAATAATATAATAATTTTTTTTTAATTTGCAAGAAAGTAAAAAAAATTAATTTATATTTTATACTTTCATATATAGTTTATGTACATCAATATTCATACACACAATATATATTCATCTAACATTTAAAAAATCTAATTTTTCGTATATAATTTATAAAAAAAAAATTATTTTCAAATCTTATCATTCAATTAAAAATTAATAATTTAAAATTATAAGATTCGTCTATTAGTATCATTTTTTTTTGTCGACGCCCAAGATATTGGACCAATTAACATTAATAATGATTTTCGCCTTCAATGTGGATAATTGACGTTAAAAATATCCAATATTTTTTTTTTTAATATTACATAAAACAAAATTAATATAAACATTTTAATACTAAATTATTTTTCATCAATATTAGCAATATTCGTCACTTCGGGATGAATCCTAGATGTAAAAGTCTGAAATTTGAACATCCGTACCCAATAAACAGAAGAAATACGAAGGATTATCGAGGGTGCCTTAGCGGAATTGCTTAGGTCACAGTTACCTAGCCAAAAAACTTGAATTTCGTACATTTGCTGCTGCCTGGACCCTCATTTTTTCTGGATCCTATAAAAGTGATAGTATATTTACTATACATATTCATAACACATATTCATAACAATAACAGGTATGTAAAACAAAAAATTTAATTATTTCTGAGAAATAGTTCAATAATTAATTATAAAAACAGCAAATAGTATAGAAAAGTTGTTCTTGTAATAAAATTTTGAATACTAAAATATATCAACCTGTAATATGATGAAAGATAGTATAAAGTATATTAATATAAAATATTAATATTTTTTCTATTATTTAATTAATAATTATTTTCTTTTCATAATTACTGATCTTTCTAATCGAAAAAGGTGATCTTATTAAGCAAATATAACTTATTATGCAACAATATTTATACTTATTTATGTAGTATAAAATATTTTTTATTGATAATATAATTAGATCTATTTCTTATGTATATATTTAAATATATTTTGTACGTATATGGCAAAAAATATTTAAATGATTAATTAAAAACATTTAATCTATTTATAATAATGCAGTATTATTTCAGTAATATTTCAATAATATTATATTTTAGAATATATATTTTAAAATCAGAATTTCCCAGATTTAATTTCAAAAGTTTTTTAGGTATAAGAAATACTGCATATAAAATAAATTATGTTGTAAAATTTATTGTAAATGTGATATTTCTATTTAAATTTTCTAAATTATATTCATAATTATTAATCATCGGAAAAAAATATTTTATGTAAAATTTCAAAAAGAACATTCAGTAATGATCATTCCTCTTTTTCTTATATAAACTCTAATTCGAAAGTTTTTTGTGAAAAAGATTATATTGATGAATTCTTTTTAAATATCGTAGTAGAAAAAGTAAAAACAAAAATTATTTAATAATTTAACAATAGTAATAAATTATTCAACAAAAGAAATATTTTATGTATTGGCAAATATATATTTTCGGAGAAAATTAAAAAAATTAAAATAATAATAATATGTTTTGTAAATAAAGCACATTTGTAGCATTTACGTGTTTTATTTATTTGCAGTATTTTTTATATAAATACCATAAAAAAAATTAATTAGACCATGATATAAATCATTAGAATTTATTAACTATCAAAAATATAAACTTTGAGCTTATATTATATATTATAAAATAATATATACTATTATATACTATAAAAAAAAACAATTACAAAATTTAGAAATAATAATATTTTTATCTTGAATATCTTAATTCTTCCAGTATTCTTATAATTATAGATATATTATATTATATTATATATTATATACTATATACCTCGTTATAATAATAATGGAAAAATCAAAATATTCAAGATAAAAATTATATATATATATATATATATATATAAAGAAGCATTTGAACTTTTATAATTTCAATGATTTTTATAATTTCAAAATTTCAAAAAGCAATAAATTTTTGTTTATAATATATTTTTTTATATTTGGATCAATTATATATGAGATATAAGAAAGTAGTTATTTACATTATATTAAATATATATAATAAATCTTAATATGCAATTAACAATATATGAAAATGTTTAAATAAAATAGAAATATATAAAATAATTATTCTTATGTTTATAACACAATATAAAAGTGATAATTATTAGTGAACTTTGCATAGTTACAAAAATATGTATTGCACAATAAAAAAATTTTATTAAAGAAATTGGAAAAAATTCAAATAAAATAATAGTATTTATAAAATGTATGGATTTTATTTCTATTTGAATAATAGATAAATCAGTAATTATGAAATATACATAATTATTAGATTTTATTTTTAAAAATACCATATAATTCGAAGATTTGATATTTATTAATAAATTATAAGTAAATATTTTTGTTCATATGTGCCATATACATACATATATATATATATATATATATATATGCTGGCACAAACTTATAATTTACAATATGAAAAATATTTATTATTATAAAAAAATTTTCGCGCGCGCGCACATATGTTTTGGCTTTTATAAAATTGTATTGTACTAGTCATTACATGTATTTATGTACGTATGTATGTATGTATGTACGTATTATATATTGTATACATAATATAACAAATTTTGTTATATTTTGCTCAAATTATAAATAATGTTTTGTTTGTATATAGATATTTATAAGTATATGTAAAGTAAAAGAATTTTATTAATTTTATTATTTATTTATAAAACAGGGTTTTCGAAATGTGATAATGTATATTTTGTTTTTAATATAAAATTTATATTTATATTTAATTTCAGCGTATTATATGTGCCATAAGTTTATTATTTTGTCTTATACATATTTAAATTTGTTGAACATTATTATTAATTTTAATTTTAAAGAGAGTAAGAAGAGGCTATACATACATTATTTGATACTAATTCGAAATAATCTATACTGTATAAATGTTAGGATAAATGGGAAAGAGAATGTATAAGTATGTATGCTTGTGTATACATACATAATAAAATTTATCAATTTATAATATTTATTCTAATAATTGCTAAATATATTTGTATTGTACGAAACATTATTATGTAAAAATCAAATGTCTGATATTGAAAAATGCAATTATGTTACATTTGATTGAAGATAATTCATAAATAAAAATTCACATATAAATACGTATACATATACGCGAAACTTATTTTCGGAAAAAGATATGATATAATTTCTTCTTATTTATCTATAAAGTTTTTAAATTTCGAACATCTTTTATTAATATTTTTATCATTTAAACATGATAATAATAATATCTTGTTTTGTAATTTTTTTATATTTCATATCAATTCAAACAGAAATTATTATTGATCACTCGTATTGTAGATAATAAATATAGTCAATGCTATAACAAATTTATTTACAGAAAATTTTTTATAGAAATAAATTTTTACAACATTAAACTGATTGTAATGATCGAATTATGTTTTCTTATAGATTATTATCACTGAATTTAAATATATTTTTTTGCTTTACGACATTTTTCTATGAAATCATAATCTAATTTATAATATACTTATAATAAATAGTTGATAGAAATTTTAATAATATATTAAAAATATATTTATAATCGTACTACAATATATACTTATCTATGCAAAAAAAATTGTTAATTTGATAAATGGAACTTGATATTATTACGAAAAACAAAATTAGATTAGAACGAAATTAGATTATTATACATTAAATTTAACGATTCGTAAAGATGTACGAATAATAATTAATAATGATTATAAAATTCTAGCAATTCTATAAGTCTAATGTACAATTTTTCTTAAATGTCAATGAATTATGTATAATATTTTATAATATCTAATAAAAAATTTCCAAGCTTGAATTTATATAGATTTTCTTTTTATTTCTTTTATACGTTTGAATAAGATCAATAATTAATTTAAATCTCTTAAAATAATCTGTATGTATATCTATTTCAAAATGTATGAAAATATTCTTAGGATAAACGAAGCGAAAAAATTACTAAAAAATTTTTATGTATTATATAAATTTATAAATATATATTGCAATCAAATTGTCATTTTGTTATACATAATGATAAGAAATGGTCAAACATATTTGTATTACATATCATTTACGCAAATTTTGTGTAAAAAATATACAAAATAACAAATGATTAAATAGTAAAACTAACGGAAGTTTTTCAAATATGAAGATTTAATTTGATAAGATTGCCTCGTTAATGTAAAATAAAACTATTGCAAATTTATTATTCAATTTTATGTGAATTTTCAATTTTATTGAAAAGTAATATGTAATAAAAAATAAAGTGATCTATCCAAGTCACATACTTTGACAAATTTTTACGTATATGTATGTAATATTCA